CATTATCATAGGGATGTCAAATAAAATTATTTGAACTAGACCAGGGAATTGGAAGTAAGCTGTGGCCTTTAATTGAAATTTTAATTGAAATTGGGTGTATGCTGATCTCCAGTCAAGACCTTTAAATTGGTCATTCACACTGCATAAAAACTTTTACTAGCATTGAAAAAATTAAAAGTTCATGTCACAGTTGGCAGTAACAAAAAGTTCAATCAATAAGTAATCATTATAATCCTAAAAGACTAAAACATACAGGTATACGTACATGTCTGCATCTCAAAAAAAAAAAAATTGAAATTCAGCATGGTCACCTTTGCCTTCCCACCTCCCCTCTCTCAACCCTCCACTCCTCAAGACCTCACTCTTATCATCCTCCTCCTCTCCCTCATCCTCCACATGTTTTCCAAATCTCTTCATACTCTCAAACATAGCTACAGTTGCTCCCTTAGACAGACCCACAATCATTGCCATCCACTCTACACTTGTTCTCTCATACCCCACTTTGTTAATCTTACCTCCCTCATTCAGAATCACCTCCATCATAGACTGATGCTCTCTCTCATACGCCCCACATTTCATCAACAAGTGCTCCACAGTTTCCTTCTCATCCCCATCACACATAAAACATTCATCTTCCCTCTTCTCATTCCATCTGTATGTACATCCATTCACACCAAGTGCCCCTGCCCTCGCACAAAACAGAAGGTCCACACCTCTACTACCATTATTCATGTTTTCATATTTTGGCATTGCTTTCATCTGATACAGTTTAAAAGTATCTTCTTTAATTTGTAGGGCTAAATTATAGCAGAATAACAACAAATTGTTTTCAGACTTGTTAGAAACTTGTTTTCAGTTTTATTTATAAAATAGAATGTTTCTATTAAAGGCAGCAATACAAGTGCTATGGTATTTTCAGAGCAAATAGGTAATGTGACTTCTATGTAGGGGATTCCTTAAGAATTAGAGTATCAATGTTCAAGTTGATTTTTCAGGATAATTACAACTTGCATCTTATCTGCATATATCCTTTTAAACACAACCTAATTTGATTGAGGAATTTAAGAATTAAAAGTTTATGAACGAAGTACTAAAAGTTTACATGTTATCTACCCTTTAGAAATTATTGTATTGAACAGCAATCTTTTAATAATAAGACAAGATTAGGCTGTTATTCTAATGTGTGCTTTGTATGAAAGCATTTCCTCCTCTATTGGTATTTAGAAAATTTTTCAGCCTTAAGTTTATTAATAAATAATTTTAGTAAACATAATTGCCCAAAATCACTGGCTGGGGTCTTGTGTCCCTGGCCCCTGGCATGGGCTTTTAAGGGGAGCGTCTGGGGTAAAATTTATCTCAGCTATTTACAGATGGATCACTCTGAAACTTGGTACACATATGTAAAACAGAATTCTAAGACATTTTTGTTCGTGTGAATTTTTCGACAAAAATGAAAGAAAACGTGAAATTCTTTAAAAACGGCCACAAAGGGGGGTACGGTACCATAGAAATCTATCTCCTCCTAGGATTTTCAAGCTACGACATTGAGACACATATCATTCGATGCGTAAAGACCATATCTAAAATGGAACACGACGGTTTTTAGGATTTCTCATTTTGTGGGTGTGGGAGCCTTTTTCGTAAATTTTCGGAAAATTTTTCGATTTCCCCCCCTGCCACCCCCCTTTTTGCGGAATAAAAGCCAAACTATAACGAAATTAGAAAAACGCCCGTGTTCCGTTGTAGATAATTTTGTTGCACATCGAATGGTATATGTCTCATTGCTGTAGCTTAAAAACTCTAGGAGGACATAGGTTTGCCGTGACAATAAGTTAATTGTTCAGTAGAGCCTGACAAAGTCGCAGGCGCCTCGAAATAAGTGTTCAAGTTGGCAAGAATGCAAGACTAGGCAATACTGGAGCTCAATTCCTATCAAGGATAGTGTGAACGACGACATGCAAACCCTCCCGTACAACTGAAGGCGGGTAACTGAAGCACATCCTATGTGGACTAGCTATTTAAGTACGCTACCAGGAATTTTCACCTATCCTAAATGTGAAAGAACTCCACCACCCCACACCCTTTCGCGATCTGTCGTGAACGTATAAATCAACTTACAGAAATGATTTTGGTACCGTTGAATAGAGCAGAATGTCAGCTTTAAGACGGGATTAAAAAAACGGAAAAGCCAAAATTAAAAAATTTAAACAGACACTCCCCTTGAAGCGTGTGAAACTGTCTGCGATCAGGACTTTATTTTGTCTCATGCCCAGGTGACTTCTGCCTGATTTTCACTTTGAAGAACATTGCTGAACTTGAAGAAATGGCCTAAAATAAATAGCTGCTACACAGTTTATACCTTTGTGAAACAATTGATTAAAACAAGTGGAAATACTTTAACATATTTGCAAAAATTATGTTATTGACTCCGATTTGAAAGGGAAATTTTGTGGTTGTTTATTTCATTTTTTATCACTGAAATAAGCCTTGTATGGTGAAAAGCAAGTTACAGGACCTGACATTATTTAAAAAACAATTTAATAAATGCATTTAATTTAAATTAGTGCAAATTTTAAACAATGGTTTCACCCTAGTTTTTTATGTTCTGTGCATGTTTTGTTTATCATGTATATATCATAACCTAACTTAATACACCAAGTTTAGTTAGTTATTGTTGTGTAGATGCACCAAGAGAAGTGGTGTTGGGGGATAGACTAATGTACTACTACTGTCAAATGGGGTAATAAGGGACAGTCCTCCAACATTTCGTAGAGATGTTGGAGCCGCTTAACTAATTGAAATATTGCAAAAATAAAAATAGTCTTATAAAGTTCAACATTTTTCCTATCTATGTAGCATAAAGCAAGTTTAGAAATTGTACATTTACTACCTCTAAAAAATCCATGAAAAAAAAGTGTGAAAAGTGAGATTTTGAAAAAATACCTCTGCTAAAGTCTGTAGCAAATAAAATTGCCATATTAAACAATTTTACTTAAAAAAAGTAGCACACAGGTGTTGGTTTAAAAACGTGATTGATGAAATTTTTGTAGCTCATTCCCCTCAAAACTGGTGGCCATTTCTGCATGACTGGTTAATAAGGGTCACCCCCCTGGCGTAATAAGGGACCCCTAAAAACGCATTTACAGTAGAACCTCAGGTAGCAAAGGCTCCAGTCAACAAAAAAATCAATTTGCAACAATGAATTTTGATTAAATTTATCTTGTTCAGCAAAAAAAGTCCAACTTTACAAAAAATTAATGCATCATTGGTCATCAAAAAATTGTGCATAGAATGCCATTGATAGAATTGTGCACCGGGCAACATAGAATGGAAAGTAGTTCACCTAAACTATGATTTATTTCTTCAAAAAATATGATGATTGTCAGTAAAATATTCCTTTCTGTTTCAGGTATGTTTTTATTATTATATTGAATTCACTTGACTCAATTAAAATGGTGCGAAATTCCTGTAAGCTTACAGATACAAAAGAAATGCTGTACGACTGCTGGTATGAAGCTTGCAGTGAACAAGGTCATTGTCAATGCTCAATGGCATGTCCATGGATACGGCAATATCGCATCAATAATATAGTAATATATGGATATGGTAATATCAATAAAAGAAAAACAAGTAAAAATCACATAAAATGTCATTTATTATACCTATGTCCAGTGTCCACATCATCTACAAAGAAAGAGGAGGACTTCAGAGTACTGTTAGTCATGGATGAGTACACCCTTCATCCTTCATAGGTTTTAAAATTGTTTTATTTCTAGTGTCCCTAATTACCCTGTTTCCAGGGGTAATTCAGGAGGCTGTTATTTTGTGTCTGGAACCTTACGAATAGCATATGGAATTTTTTTCGGAGATGCCATTCGATAGCCCTTGCAAAGAGCTTTATAATGAGCCTAAACTTGTTTATGAAATGTTTCATGGTAAGAAGTTATTAGCAAAAACGCTCAAAGCGCTATTTATATGTGTAATTTTTGTGTGCTGTGTGCAAAGGATATTTGTGTTCAGGATTTTTGTGTTATGTGTGAAGGATTTTTCTGTGATGTGCGTGGAGAATTTTTGTGTGATGTGTGTGAAGGATTTTTTGTGATGTGTGCAAAGGATTTTTGTGTGCTGTCTGGAGGAATTTTGTGTGATGTGTGTGGAGGATTTTTGTGTGATGTTTGTAGTCTAGTTGACTTCTGCTAGCAATGTGTCTGTTCATTGAAAATTTTTCTGTAGCAGAGAAAGACTAGCTTACTATTTCTCAATCTTTTCACACATCTAGGATATACAAGTAGGTATTTTAAATTTAGGGAAAGCTATTTGAATCTATGTCTGCAATAATCATTAGTCAAAATACTAAGAGCCTTCTCTGAGATCCAATTGCTGAAGATTAGAAAATCATGATCATTTGTCAACATCATTCTACTTTCCTATTTGTCTAATCTTGTTCACAGCACATTGGTCCATGTTTATTGTCAAAGGCATATTATACTTCTCAGGAGTCACTATTGATCTCGGCACTTAAACAATTCTATGTATGTTTACCTGCTCTTTCAAGCCATCCACTTTGGTTAACCTGTACAGTCTTCAGGTTTTGAAAATTGTCTGCTTTGAAAGCCACTCGAAAATTAGATTTTATTAGGATTATGGGAATGACATGGTTTGTTAAAACAGGACACCAAAATTGCAGGACTTTTCAAGCCTAGGCAATAATGGGCTTGAACTGCCAAATGCCAATTAGGTATATGTCAATTATTTTAAATTAAGTGGCAGAATTAAAGGAAAAATGTAGGTAGTATTCCAATTTTGTAAGACCTTATTTTTAGGTTAAAATGTTTTTATTGAAACACTGGTTCTCTGTTTTAATACTTGAAATGGGTAATTAAAGACATATATGGTTCTATAGGTTTTTTAATCTTCAAAAATGTGCACAATACTCTTGCTATTAATTTATGTAAATTGTTGTGTTTTTTTCTTAATTTGACTGTTTTTCTTCAGAGCTGAGCAGATGCTTTAAGTTCCATACCATCATTGTAGTTGTCTTATAATGGATTCCAAAAGGTCATCTATAAGTAATAAGAAAAGGCATTCTTCTAGTAGGAATGAGGAATCTTTGAAGAAGTTTCATTCAAAATGCAGGGATGTTGATGATACTGCTGAAGTCTCCAAGCCAAAATTCTTGCCTCTTATAAGCCGAGGTAACAGGAAAAAAATGTATCTGAAACTGAATGAGATCAAATCCAGAGAGCAAGAAAGGAATTCTAAATCAAGTTTTCCTGGAATTTCCCCTCTGAAAATATCTCAGGATGTCACCTTGTGCAAAAGTCTAGTCACCAGTGGTCCTTCTGATGTGAAAGTAAGATGAAAGTGAATTCATGATGTCATTCTTATATTTATTTACTGTATATATACAGTATATAATGATACATTATTGTTGGTCCTAACTAATTTGTGATACGTACCTTACAAGAATGATCAAAGTAGGATGCAATGAAGAGAAAATATTATGTCCTATTCAACATTTCAAATTTCATAAAATTATTGCTATGGTGCTTGTACATATAAATTTGGCCAAATGACCCATGTTAGCTAATGAAAATTATATACTATTCAACTGAATATATTTTAATTGAAAAATAATATTCCTTTGTCTTCTTGGAAGGAAAAACTTCAAATCCTTGTATGAAAACATGTACACTAACTTTAATTGGTCTCTGCCAACAATGTGAATGTTTCTGTGCCTCCAATTTTAATGGGTCTGTGCCAACAATTTGTCTACAAGACTGACAACAAGTCAGTACCTATATGCACTCTAGCTCTTTTGCCAATTTCTAAAGCATCACTGATATGCACTTTTTAAATTAGGTATATATCATTGTTCAAAACCATGCATTTATTGACCAATTAATTATTCACAGGATGATGCAAATCGATCTGATTCTCTGATGTCTTTGGATTTATCCTACAAATCTCAAGAAGAAGATGACTCTTCAGATATCACCAAGTTGCCCAAAATTCCTGTACATTCTGATTCCGCTGAACATTCATTTCTCCAGACAAGTGCAATGAACACGTCTAGTAATTTTGATCAGCTTTACATGAGTGAGGCAAGCTTCTTCGTGGATGTCACTCAACCTCCACCATTTTTTGTGCCTCTGACAAAGTCTTCGACTGACCCTGAGAAAGAAGCTCTCTCTGCCAGTGCTACCTGGAGCTTTGATGAAGCTAGCTATTCTGGCACTAGTTTAAATAACATTGACTCAAGAGTCTGGTCTTCATCAACTAACTATCAGAAGGAAGTTCAAGAGAATACAGGAAAATCTCTTCATTACGAGTCACCAATATGTTTTTCTGAGATCCCATTACCTCCAGATATCTCTTTAAAAAGTCCTGTGCATATTTCTGAATTGTCCAAGAAGAAAAGTTTAGAAACTCGATCTCCAAATACTGTAGCTCTGGCTTCACTTCCTGAATTTCATGCCAACAACTATAAAACTCTTGACAAGGTTATTTCTCCTAGAAAATTAAACTTTAATAGAAAAGACAAACTTTCTAAGTCAATTGCTGGTATAATAGATGGTAAAAAATCCTTCTGGGACAAGTGGAACCCTGTTACTTCAGAAAGCAAGTCTCACCCTAAAGTAAGACTCCCATTCTTGTCTCGGAATAATACAAGAATTAATATGCAAGAAAAAGTTTCTCCTGCTGCCCTGGGTATGCAGCTCAAGATTTCCAGCTTTGCCAAAGCCCAACCATATCAGGAAAAAAGTAGTGAATGGATCAATGAATCCTCAGCTGATAGGACTCCAGTAAAATCTTCTATGGTGTCTGCTGGAGCTGGTCATTGTCTTACGAAATCGTGTCCGCCTCTGCCAGGCTGTTCTACTAACGACAAGAGTTCAAAGGGATTTGATCACCACGTGAGACTTTTAATATAAGTTTGTATGCTGAAAGTCATATTAATGGCACTTATTTCATTGTCAGATAATGAAGTATAATTCAAAACCAAGTTAGATTATTTGGCCTTTGCCAGTAGTGGTATGTTTGTGATAAACTTTTGTTAACATGTGCACAATTTATAAGACTATATTCTGTACCGGTAGTGGTACCTATATTATGTGAAACCCCTGTGATGTTTGACGTAATTTTTCAACTTCCTTTCCTCAGACCCAATTCAAAAGTTGGTCTCAAGTGGACCTAAGAGCTGGCGCTCATCGCCACCAGCAGTCTGTGAACGTCTCTCACAAGACGCCGCTTGAATCCAATGCAAAGCATAGTTTTGCCTTCAGTTTGGGCCAATTCTTACAACGCAAACGCGCCAATCAGACCGCCTCGTTTGACGGCAGTGACATGAACTCCTCCTCAGACACAGCGTCTGACATGGCATCGCCTGGTATGAACACGTCACATAGCAGATCTGTGCAAGACTTTACATCGCTATCAAAGGAAGTTTATTCTGTTGGCTTCATTGATACTCATTGTCACTTAGACTTCCTGTTCAATAAGGTGAACCACTCTGGCAACTTGTCTGATTTTAAAATCGTGATGGAGAAGAAAAGCATTGAAGAGCTGAAGTTTCCTGCTTCTTACGAGGGCTGCATTGCTGTGTTTTGTCAACCTGACTCCTTTCACAAGGTAAAGGGTAATGGTTTATTGTCCTTTAAAAAGTTATTGGAGTGGCGTTTTTACGTCCTTTCACAAAGTATTGGATTGTGGTTTATGGTCCTTTCAGCAGGTATCGGAGAGGCTTTTTCTGATCAATCACTGCGACAGGTTACTGACAGCAAATATTTGAATTCCAACAATACTTGAAGCAATTCTCAACCGTATGAACCATACGTGTTATAATATTATATCGATAATATTACCTTTACCATCCATTATATTACAAATATATGTAATGGTAGTCCATATTTTTTGTATTTATTTCGCCTGTAATAAAAGTATATACCATCTTTGAACAATAGACTAAAAGTTTGATCTGTTACATTTTTTTCTAATGTGTTCTCTAATGTTCTAACGTTTCATTTTCAAACACTTTGAAAATGTACTTGCTCTATTAGACTCATTCTAATGTTTGAATTGTCATAACTATTATATTATTATATAAAATATGATATATTTTTCTATAATTATAAGAATATAATTATATTATGAATATAAAATATATTTATAATATGAATATCGCACTTAATAAGCACAAGTGCTGCTGTGCAGACGATGTGGTACAAGCGTCTGCTGCAGGACGACCAGGTGTGGGGAGCGTTTGGCTGTCACCCGCACTTCAGCAACCACTTCAGGGAGCACGAGATGCACCACCTCAAACAGGCGCTCGCTCACCCCAAAGTCGTCGCCCTCGGAGAGATCGGCCTCGACTACTCTCATAAGTTATTATTACTTGTATGGTGACCGTAGTTACGAAAACTTTATGTATGAATAACAAACGACGGCGAATAGCAGTGAGATCGGCCTCGACTACTCTCATAAGTTATTATTACTTGTTGTATGGTGACCGTAGATACGAAAACTTTATTTATGAATAACAAACGACGCTGAATGATAACCTTAGCAGTGAGATCGGCCTCGACTAATCTCATAAGTTATTATTACTTATTGTATGGTGACCGTAGATACGAAAACTTTATGCATGTATAACAAAACACGGTAAATGTATATCCTTAGGTGCGAAATCAACTTCGACTACTGCCATAAGCTGTTGTAACTCTGTGTACCCACCTGGCATATGACGTTGAAATCACGTCGTTTCAACGATATCAACTGGTAATCAACGTAGTTTCAACTTCACTCGCCTGGAAGAAGAATTTACACATGAATAATATTAAAACTGTAAATGTATCTGCTAGGCGAGATCGGCCTCGACTACTCTCACAAGTTATTTTATTACTTGTTGTAAAGTGACGTTAGTTACGAAGCTTTTACTTACAATTAACATTAACGAAGGTGAATGTGTATCCGTGGACGGAGGGTTAAATCTGTACCTTTGAGTGAGCACCTCATATAGGATAATTATTGACCTATGGATCTTGATGCTTCTATAGAAAAGTTCTATATAATGATGTATCCCTTTAACTTGCACATTCTCATGCTGACAAGCCTGGGGTTGTCAAGACATGGAATTAGCAAAGCGTAAAAAGTTGGTGTACAGTTGCCTGTATCCCTTATAAATATTTATTATAACAACTGTTCCTATGAAATTTAGACGGGGATTACAACCATGGCCATCGTAACTTACTTTTTATTATTCTTGTGATTTACACCCGCTGATTTACGTAAGAGTTTTATGTGTAATTTAGTGAATGAAACCCCCCAAAAATATCAGATATACTTTTTTCCAATTTGTTTATTCGCAAATGGGAAAATAGAAAACCGATTGGAAAATCAAATGTGAAAGCGATCGGGTATCCAATGTCGTACAAATTTCAATGTGGCATCGCACGTAACTGAGCGGTCGCTTTAGACGTCTCGTTTGTATTGAACTTCTACATGCTAAGCTTTTCAGCATCCAGAGTCCCTTATTGTACCTCTACCAGTAATACAATAGGGTTAATAATATTTCATCTAAAGTATTCGTACTGCCACTCGTTCTTCAATTTTCTCGCTTGTCTTTCTTATAATATTAAATGGAGATTGCATATATATGGAATCTCTGATATAGTTTTAAAAATATCGCTGTCATATTTCCCTGAACTGCGTCGTCATGTTCCTTATTATTCGTCCTTAATATTTTTGCGCATTCCGCGTTAATTTTTCTGAGCGTACCGCTTTTGAGTTCGTAAATTCGTTCATTTTTCCTTTGACTGTAAAGGCTGTACTAATCCTGCTATGTTGCTGTACAGGAGTTTTAACTGTAAAGGCTGTACTAATCCTGCTATGTTGCTGTACAGGAGTTTTAACTGTAAAGGCTGTACTTGTACAGGAATTTTAACTGTAAAGGCTGTACTCATGCTGCCTCGTTGCAGGAACAACGTGGACGTGGAGGTGCAGCAGGCCGCTCTGAAGATGCAGCTCGCCATCGCCGTGGAGTTGAAGAAGCCGCTCGTGATACACTGCCGCGACGCCCACGACGACACTCTGCAGATCCTCAAGCAGGTTAACGAGTCCTGATATTATATTTTGCAGATCCTCGAGCAGGTTAACTTGTCTCGATAAAACGACCACGCCTTGCAGATCCTCAAGTAGGTTTGCGAGCCTCAAACGTCACCTTGCGAGTTGTGATCTACGCGTTAAGGTGCCTGTACACACAGGGATACTAACCGCCAGTAGATCTGGCTAATATTCGCCAATGGTAATTGTCGGGCTTATTTGCACTTGTAGAAGAGTACTAGGAGTAGGCTTCAGCCTTAGGGGGCGTGGAGTGAGCAGCGGCGCGAGCATGACGTCAAAAATTTTGAAGTTTTTTTGCGTCTTGTAGGGCTGAATCAGCCGCAGTGTACGCCTCTGTGCCATAGTGTGTTAACGCAACCAAGTCTATTGATGGTGCCAAATTATCTTTCCGTCCTACCCAGTCTTTCTTTCACCCACACTCTATGTTGACTGACAAAGTTTTTCACCTCCTCAGCTATAGTGACAACAATTGCACTAATTGCTTCATCAAAAACCTCCTCAAACTCACTATCTTTGTCATGTTCGATATTCTTTCTCCGAGCGCAAACTTTTTAATTCTCTCCAAGACTAATAACTATGCACTGGCGGCTACAGAGGAGAAAATACTGTCATCTTATACTTGCCTGATGCTTACTGGCCGGTAAAAGTACATCAGGTTTATATTATCAGCCAATACTGTCTGCTAATATTATCCCTGCTTGTAGGCTTTTACAATTCATTTCGATTTCGTCACTTTTTTTCACTATCGTCAATATAGTCAATATATAGGCTAGTAATAATCCTGGCTTGGGCCGGGCATTTCCTACACCGCGATGGCCGCGGTTCTTTAACCAATGTTTGGGTATACTTCGAGCCTGGCCTAATTTACATTTATTACCAGAAAAAGAAGTCCTTTGAAGTTGGCTCATTAGGCGAGCAGCTACCTGTACATCTTATGTTCTTATGAAGCTTTATACCACACGCTATCTATTCACTTTTGTTATTTACATGATTCTTTAAGTCAGAAGCTTCTTATACTTGTTTCTTTCTGTTTGTAATCTCATCGGCTTCAGTTTGCTTGAAATCACGCTTAATTCAAACGTGATTGTTTTTGCCCGAATGGCGCTGGTAAAATTGGTACAACGCCAGGCTTTGTTTTATTTGGCCGTGTTTTCGTTTTTCAAGCGCCACGAACTGCTTCAAGTCCCAAATAATTGAGAGACATAACACTGCTGGGTTATGTTACAGCACGTGCCGGCCGACACTCCGATGCACCGTCACTGCTTCACAGACACTTGGGACGAAGCTTACGAGTGGCTGCAGGCGTTCCCCAACTGCTTCATCGGCTTCACGAACATCATCAGTCTTAGGAATCGCCGAGGCAAACTGGTGAATATTATTCCATTTTTTTCATCGGGATTGTCAGGAAAGACAAGTGAAAATCATCATTTTTCTCAGAATTGTCGAGGCAAACTGGTAAAATTATTTCTTTTATATTCAAAGAATATTCTACTGTAGAAGTATTGTATTGTAACATTGTTTTCTCAAACTTCGGCTGTTAAAAAAACGTCCAAAGAATTCCTTGCAATCTCTCTCTGCTTGCAGGAGTCAAATTAAAAAAAAAATTCTATTTTCTAGAGCTTTGTCGTACTTCTTTCAGTAGATATGCAAATTTTCAGAAGACGTTTTATGAAAAATTTTTATTTTTCATCTTTGTTCTGCAGAAGTATTTGAAGCCATCACGCATTCCAAACATTTCTCCTGCAATGGGTATTGTAAAAGATAGTTTTCCATGCAGAAATTTCAAAAAGAACATCTGTGAAAAGTTTATTCGCGGTTACTTTCTGGGGACTCTTTTCGTTTCTGCACTAAACTCTTGTGTCAAAATGAATATTTTGGTTAGGTTTGTTTGGGTTGTTATCCTTACCGTGCTCGCTATCCTTGCCGTGCTCGCTATCTTTGCCGTGCTCGCTATCCTTGCCGTGCTCGCTATCCTTGCCGTGCTCGCTATCCTTTGCTCGCTATCTTTGCCGTGCTCGCTATCTTTGCCGTGCTCGCTATCTTTGCCGTGCTCGCTATCTTTGCCGTGCTCGCTATCTTTGCCGTGCTCGCTATCCTTAACGTGCTCCCTATCCTTGCCGTGTTCGCTATCCTTGCCGTGCTCGCTATCTTTGCCGTGCTCGCTATCCTTAACGTGCTCCCTATCCTTGCCGTGTTCGCTATCCTTGCCGTGCTCGCTATCCTTGCCGTGCTCGCTATCTTTGCCGTGCTCGCTATCCTTACCGTGCTCGCTATCTTTGCCGTGCTCGCTATCCTTGCCGTGCTCGCTATCTTATATATATATATCCCCTATCGTGAACTCGTATCCTTATATCCTCTATCGTGGAGTATCGCAGGTCGGTGCGCTCGTCTTGAACTGCAGCACCACCACCGTGTACGAGACGGCGAAGCCGGCCAACTGTAACATTTATTATTAAGAATTTTGCACAATATTATGTATCTCATTAAAATGAGTATCTATTCTTACATGCAGTTCATAAAATGCCTTCTATGTCGGCCAAGAAGTGTTCTTCGTCAAGCACATTTCAAGAATCACTGTTGCGGATATTGATACAGAGTAATTACTCAGACAGTTGATGTGAACCTATTTAATGGATTAATATGGAAATATTATCAATAGGAGGGTAATAGGAATAGTTCAGTAATATCATCACAATAAAAGTCTCACCGTAGCGAAGGTGCCGCGGCCGAGTGAGGCGAACGAGGCCAGGCTGAACACCACCGGCTTCTCGAGCAGCACTCGCACCTGCGCTGCCTGTTAAACAATCAATTCTTAATTAAATAAAATTAATAGTGTTGGTATAATAATTTTACTTATTACTTGTATTGACAGGTGAACAGCGTGAAATTTTCAAGGTCTCTGTAGTTCATTAAAATCATGTTAGTTGGCAGAAACGCTTGTTTAAAAGGTCATGTGTGTATCTTTATTGACTAATCACACCCGGGCGGATGCGTGTAAAAATTTTCGAAATTTTCATTGATCTGCACAGACCCACCATTTTGGACGCTTGCAATGTAGGGCTGGTGTTAATCAGTCGCTTCAGTTTTCTGCAAGCTTGCTCTCTCTGAAAGATGACACAAAGCTATTCAGTAATTGAACGGGCAGTGTGTTCTAACCGTCCCAGTAAGAATTGATTTATTATCCACCTTATTGTAAAGGAATTATTGTAAGCGTATTGTTGCTGTGACGGTTACGTGGGCATGAAAATAAGCTGCACGGACCGATCATTTTTCTATTTTACGGACAGTTCTACACTGTCATAACAAGCACTTAAAAAAAGACGTGCTATTCCGATGAGGGCTCAAAGTTGCGAATCATTTCATGCAGCGCTTATGAATTCCCGCACTCATTGAGAACATCATACTTCATCTCTTCATGCATTAACGATCAAAGTATCTTGTCGTTTATCAATACTCTGCTCTTATTAATTCTCTGTTTTGTTTATTAATCATCGAGAACTTGGCTTCGTGTGCTCAGTAAAAACAAAGCGCTCTTCAGCAATTATGCTTGGCAAACCTTGTTGATTTTGTCATTACCTTGAATCGATTTGACTTCTGTTGACTAGAATAGCAACATCGCAGTTTGATCATTTGTGTCGTGATGTCACTTAATGTTGATGTTACATTGAGAGTACTTATCTTGAATGTTCGCTTCAACGAAATATTTTCATTTAGTTGAAATTTAAAAGCAAAGAAAAAACGCAAATATTCACTTTCTTTATAAAAACTCTATCGTCTCCAGCTCCATCGTCTGTTCGCAAATTCTAGAATACAGATACCATCAGTTGTTAGTATAGTCATTATTTTTATAGCAAATTTTTTATTGAAGTGACATTAGAATCCGAGCACCACAACGTCTCTTTTGTATAGCCTTTATGACAAATCAGCTTATTAAACTTGAACCTTCTTGGGACGGTTGGGTATTATATTTTACGGGTAAAACCTACTTTTTATTGCGTTTGATTTCTAATTTTGTTAGTTACACATCAAACAAATTTTCTGAAACTCATGTTGTTTAAAGTTAGTAGTAACTGAGCAGAATAATATGTTATTTATTTTGGGATTTTTGAGAGCTTCTCGGATCAAAAGAATTAATGTGATAAATCCATGCTATTTTTATGCGGAGTTATTTAAGGTTTCGACGAACGTTTGTACTCACCTCGTTATTGACCTCATCAGCATTCGTAGCAAGTAGGAAAGCGCCTACGGTGCGCCATAGAAAAATCAGCACGTAATTTGTCAGCCCAGGGGCGCCGCTGAGTAAGCAATCGACGATGAAGTACAGCGAGATGCTGGTCGAGGCGGTGTCGTAAATTAACCGTAGTATTATAGGCCATCCCATGACAGCCATGAGGTGACCTGCTAGTTCATGCACTTCGTCAGCCTCGCGGTCGAGATGCTGTATTTCTTTGTTGAGATCTTCCGCCCACTCGCACAATAAGCTCTGATGACAAGAACCATGTGAGCTCTGGGTTGATAAGTTCTGCGCGCTGTTAGAGAATTCAGGAGGCGGTTCATGTTTTGATCGGTTAATCGTTCCATAGATATTTAGGTAGGACCTGTGGTACTTGCTGTGTTTTGCATCGATGCGATCCAGTCTGGTTTTGTAAGTTTTACACATGTCGCATGTTGCAGCCATGAAGAACATTTGTTCAGTAGCGTCCAGGATGAAAACATAAGGCCAGAGCAGCACCATTGGTAACAGTCTGAGCTTTTCAGAAAATAATGACAGAGGATCGTCGTTGACGTAGAAACTGAAATCGGACAGAAGGGCCGCAAATCCCAGTAAAAGGTACGCCATGTGCTGCCAAAAAACGAAAGTTTGCCAAAGGTTACTATGGCTTGGTTGATTCAGCTCAATACTCCTCATTATCGTTTTAATTGTGGAGTTCCAAAAATTGTACCACACATAGTCAAAATTGAATAAGATTACAAAACTTACGTTCCATATTATCAAACCCATATTGTTGAATGCATCACCAGTTGGTGACATCAATGAAAGCTGGATGAGCGATAATGTCGATGCAAATAAAGATATGTACAGCAATGAACTCCACAAAATCGGAAAAATAGTTTTACTCAAACTACCAACTTTGCAGTAGCGCTTCATTTCGAATTTCATTTCCTTATGGCCTGGATAATAAAGTTCAATATTTTTCCTTTTTTTGCGTGTCGTTGGTATTTGAGAATGATACAAGCCTGACACCTGCATCATCTTCATACTTATCGAGATTATGGTATTGTCCATTTTGATCTTATTTGCGTGAATTTCCTGCGGCTCTTTGCTGTTCACTTTTATGTCCGTTACAATTGGTGGACCGCTAGTGACTGCCACAGAGAGCTCTCCTTGCCTGATGTTTGAGGAACGCTTGTGTTGGCATGACTCCTTTGTTTGTTGACTATTGAACTATTAATTATGTTTTGTTTGTTGACCATCCCATTGAACTATTAATTATTATTTGTACAACAGGTGATTGATCAACTCTACCTAAACAAAACCTTGAGGTTCATTCGTCTTGAAAGGTGTTCGATAGTTGGCGAGATCTCAGTTTTTTGTGTTGGAATATCAAAGAAAATTTTTTTGGTGTGGAAGAATTGATTGGGTAAAGATCGTGGCTTGAAAGAGTAATAGCCAGTAGGTGGATTAGTTTAAATATCGGCGATGGGCTTCATTAAATAATCGCTCTAACAAAAACCCTTGCGCATAACCATATGGTATGGCCCAGCATTAGTTACGAGAAGTTGAGCCTGTGATTTTAGCTACGCGTTGTCGGTTACAAAGCTGTGTTAGGAAACTGATTTTGTTGAAGCGAATAACGTGATTTTATGTGATGAATTTCTTCCATCAGCTTGGTGACGTGGTAAGGAAGATGCCTCTGAACCGTCTACTTCTTGAGACGGACGCTCCCTTCTTCACTCCAGACTGCGTGAGTTGCAACTCTTGACACTTCCTTAACTTTGTTATTCTTTGTTGCTTTTGCTCGGAAATGTCAAATTACATGTACGTTTTAAGCAGATCTTTATAACACATCACCTACACCATTTTATCAGAACTCAACTATAGAAAAGTAACGTTGTTATTCTTGTTTCTCCCTGTGATAAATTAGAACATTTTGCTTATTTTAGTTTTTTATTAAATAGAATTATACTATTAAATTATGATTAGTTGAAATCTTTCATCTTGATCTTTTTAAAAGATCAAAAACTTGATTAAAAAGATCAAAACTTCAACAAGTACTCAAGTTAGTTCTTCAATCCTCTAATCCAATGTAATAACATTATTTAGCAGCAATTGCTTTCAATTTGCCTAGCAATTACGTTTTTATTTATGTTCGGTCTTCAGTGTACCCGTAATTATATTATTGCTCTTATTTAGAACAAATGCTTTGTATTTGCCTACGGTTTAAATTTATTTTTTCCTACTTCATGTTCCTGGTAATTCTAACATTATCCTTATTTAAAACAAATGCTACTATGTATTTGCCAACTTTTTTAATTTATTTTGTACCATTTCAGGTTCCTCTTATTTAAATAATTATTCTTATTCAGAACAAATGATCTGCATTTGCCTGCTGTTTGAATTCATTTTTAATTTTTTAGGTTACACAAAATTAGACCATCATTATATTTTACAACAGATGCCTTAAATTTACCTACTGTTTATATCTATTTATCGGGATTAAAGTTAACCTTTATTATAATTTACTTCTAATTAACAACATATGCCGCTGATTTTAATTTATTTTTAACTTTTTGTTCGGTCTTTAATTTACTGATAATTTGCAAGTCTAATTTAGTACGCACGCCGTGAATTTGCTTAGCATTTCAATTTGTCGCACAGGTGCGGGAACAAGGCGAGTGTAACGCCCATCCTGGCTACGCCTTGCACGTCGCTGTCGAGATCGCGCGGCTCCGAGGAGTGTCCGTGGACGACATCCTCGTCGCTACCAGACGCAACACCAGGGAGCTCTATGGCATTTAAGCTACCGTTGTGGCTTATGAATGGCACCAGGCGCAATACCAGGGAGCTCTACGACATTTAAGCAAACCTTGTGGCATATGAATGGCACCAGTCGCAATACTAGGGATCCCCATGGAAAATAAGCTACCTTTATTGCTTATGAATGGCACCAGGCAGCACTATGGCCTATAAGCTACTTTTGTGGCTTTTGAATAACATCGACCTCATGGCAAAATATTAGTCGCTTTAGTGCTTCATGTCTGTCAGAACACCGGCATATTTCGTCACTCAACACGATTGCTCGAATGACTAATGACATGCTTTAGTAAAAACGGTGGACCTCCTAGTTAGCATATTGGAATTACCTAACGTCAAAGGAATTTACCCCGCAGTTTTTTTTATTTTTTTTGTAACATTTTTCGTTTGTTTATACTCGTATTTTCTGTCAGCCATCAATACATAGGTAATTTTTTTGAAACGAGTCATTGGACTTTTACAAAATGTATCAAATTCGGAGAATAAAAAGACGTTTGTCGCTTCTGGCAATTACCACAAGTACCAAACGTAGTAACGTGTGACGACATATTGTGTCTCGCGAAATTACAACCAGCCTCGTGAACGTATGGAACTTGTTGATACTTTTTTCTTTTTGTCGCTTTCCTCGCCTGTTCTGTTTCTATGCTTCTGCTGGTAAATGAGTTGTTGATTTGTTCTTTACATACAAGATGCTTTTTGAGCTGGTAAATCACACCAGTGTAAGGGTCCCTACAATAGGCACTTCATAAGGAAGGGACTTTCATATATTAAGAGTACCCACGATTTAATGCGTGATGACATCTTGGTAATTGGCTGCAAGGGAAAAAGTGACGCAATGAAAGTACTTTCAGCCTTCCAACTTTCGTTATTGCAGGCTGTTAATCTAATGTAATCACTCTTTTTCACTAATGTTTTATGTGTGCAATTTTTTTTCTTTTGAAGCACTCTGTATGAAGATAGTCTGCAAAGGATAAACAAAGGTCCAACATAATTAGCAATTCATTTTTCTCTAAACGTAAGGTCACGAAAAATTATAAACAGATCGAAAAGTTACGTCAAGCTATATTATTAGTAGGTACTCGACTATATGATTAATATTTGGAAGTAATAATTCTTATAGACAATGGTAGAATAGTATTGTATTATAGTGGAAAAAGGCATAACTCTGTGTAGTGATTGAGACAAGTCACGGGTCTTACTAGGCGTGACATGTTTTTTACATGTCATCATGACATCGTTTCTGTTGGGTAAGATTGCGAGTTATGCTAACATAAAGCGACGTAAGGCACTTTTCTCGTATGAATAAAATATACATTGACTCGAAAGAGTTTATTAAAGTTGCCAGAGGTAGCAGCTACATTAACATGTGCAATGAAGTTGAGCGCCATGTGCAAGGCCGTCAATAAAATAAAATAGTCTTGTGATATGTATGCCTAATCGATCACTTGCTGCAAAGCCACCGAGGTCTTCTAGTTGCCAAAGAGGACTTAACTTAATTATAAATTACCCAACGGCCTAGTCTTCGCATCATTGAAAATTAATTCCAATTGGACACTCGTGGATGACGCTTGACGGTTTTTGAATTAGGCCGCCATTGGATGCTGCCGACTGTTCTAGATGGTTATCACTCGCATCTGAAAAAAATTCCTCACCGATACGTTAAAAGGAATATGATTTACTTTGCAGTAAAAGGTCAGTTAAGTTAGTTATAATAACATTGCTAATAGCCAATTATTTTTTGACGAAAAATGTAGCCATAAAGCCTCCATGACACAAGTTTTTTATGTTTATCATGCGGTCATTGAATTAACACATATTCAAATTCTACCATGAACCTCCTCGCGTTTCAGTTGCAATTGCTGATATCCCGATAGAAAAGCAGCGATCAAACTATAGATTAAGAATGCGAGAACTGAGTCATCCGTCAAGCCAATAGAACTGGCTCAATGCAACAGCAATTTATGAAGTAAGAAATTTACGTTGCAAGCTTAGTTTGGGAACATGCAAGTGGCTTACGATATCAGTCGTCACATTAATAATATAAAAGAAAAACGACGATCAAGCAAGATTTCGCCCACCATTCGTTAAAACTGAATAGAACTTAGATTATCTATTCTATAGAGTGTGGAGACTTAGTTGCGTGAAGGTGTATGTCAACATGATCACGACACTTGAGTAGAAATATTAAAGACGTTTCACATACCACGAGTTTACAGTTACGATTCGCATCTATGGCGAATATTTTTCAAAACAGATCATTATGGTAGGTGTTTTTATTAACCGATATTTATGATAACCATTGCTATATGATGATTCGTCATGAATAAATTTGAATTTTATCATCTAAAGTTGTCGCAATTCACACTTATTCTTAACTTTGGTCGATGCCCATTACAATTTTTAGATTATATTTTCAAAATTCCGTTAGATTTATTTAGCTCAAGCAGATTTGAAAAGAGGTTGCTTCTGAATTTCGTGGCTCCATTCTTTCTGGCTGTTCGTGGTCATAGTTGAACTATATAAGGTTGACCCATGGTTGAAACCATTAATTCAACCGTGAGGTTGACCCACGAGAAGTTCCGTCTTTCAGTTCAGCTGGAAAGATTTTTATCCGCCATGGACCCTTGGTATAAAAAGTAGGAGATAGATATGATAGAAAAGGTAGGAAATATTGCGCGATTGAGTCATAACGTTTCAAATTAATACGTGTCTCTGAGATAAAAAGCCACGAAATTTCTTAAACAACTTCGCTCTTTCTCACGTCTTGTATGGTAGAACGAAGTAAGCCTAATGTAATTATCAAAATTTAAAGAAGTCTAAAAAGTTGAAAGTGCGAAGAGTAAATTTGAAATTGACTTGCATGTATTGGGCCGTTTTGGCTTCTTTTTGGGCCGCTTTTGTCGTTCTCTTGCCACAATCTGGCCATCATTTTATTCCTGCCACCATGGTAGTTGGAATACAGCTGCTGCTGAGTTAACAACTCGTGTCATTCAATTCGTGATGACTGATGAGGATATTATTATAACTTGAACACTATTATTATAACTTGAATGGCATGAAAAAATATCCAATAAGTAATACATTCTACATTCACCCAATTTATAATATACATTCACCCACTAATACATTCACCCAATTTATAAAGTGATCATTTGAGTTGAAAAAGTTTTGATATCGTGCTTAAAATAAATTGGTGTGAGTTGAATCCCGACCAGGTATTTACCACTAGTCTAACTGAAAAAAAATATAACTCAGTACTCACTGCAGTGAGTGACAGAGAGCGCATTTTCTCATCGACGAAAACATGAAGTCACGGACTGACAGACAGACAGACATGGTGAGCACAATAGTGCAAATTTTTCATATATGAGAAAATGAGCTAAAAAAAACTTAGAGCATCAACACGTTGACTCCGATAGCTTCATCTTGTACTATTATTTCATTTTTCATACACTCATGAAACAGGGTTTCCATAAAGTCTTTTTTTTTTGCGGACGAATTCCACGACCCAGTTTTTTTCAATTGCGTTTGCCAGCTAAAATTTATGATACAATTAATTTGATACTTCCTAATTAAATTTTAAAACCTGCAAAAAAAGGATATTCACACCGGAACCTGCAGATGTACTAGAATACTCGTTTATTGAGTTATGGGCCTTTTCTGTTCGCGGACTTGGCCGTTTTTTTTTTTTAGTTTATCTGGCAACCCTGAATTATGTTCCACTACGTCCTGGAGCATTACACTTCGTGGTACGCATATAGACTGCTTCGGAGTCAACATGTTAAACGATTATAATTGGTGATTAGCAAGCTTATTAATAAAATGTCTTCTGTTCAGAATATAGATAGCGTAGCGCGAATCAAGTAACTATTGTTTGCAAGCATTAACATTAAATCTTTCTACTGATTCCATCAAAATTTGTTGAAGCATAACTTTATTAATCCTGGAAAAATTATCATTCGAAGTTGTTAAGACTTGAATTAGGAAGTTGCGTATTAGGTGGTTCTTATCTTTTACCTGCTTGGCTCAAACCCCCGTTCAGAGACATTACTTGGCCAATTGGCAGACCATTTGGCTTCAATAACACAAAGTTAGCTTCCTAAACAAAATTTTTAACGCTGTTCCGAGCATCGTTACTCAGAATTTAGGTGCTCACTAATGTCAGGCCAGAATTGGCATTTATAAGCACAGCGACATAGTCTACTATTTATAAACCACACGTTACAAGAGAGCGTAAATATTTTTCGTTTTAATAAATACATTTATTATTAAGGAGACTAAACATATATAGGGACTAAAATATATTTGAATTAAATGCGTTCCATGACATTATTAAATCCCGCGCCGTTTAGTTACAATAAACGTAAATGAAGGAAACAAGTTATCGCTTCTATTGTATTTAGTTGTCGACGTGACGCTTCTAATAAATGGATTATTTGTTAAATTATATAAACTAATTCTTCAAAATGGCGCTCTAAACAAGTTTATCAAGAGTTGAACAATGTACCGACCTCGAAACATCACGTAAATACTTCTGCCTGTACGGCCCTCACGCGCGAGTTGGTTAAACTTCGTAATTGTTAAACAGTCGAGCAGACTTGCTACACCGACGAGCCCCTGACCCCTTTCAACTTTAAATTTAAATTTAACGCCGGCGAGGTCAATTCCTATTTCATTTCCCTTGTTCAAACGATGCCAGGTGATAATAGAATTATTTGTACAACAGTTTTAACTTGGAAAAGCGCTCCGAAATTAATTAACGCGTATCTCTTACACCAAATTTTGCAGGACAAACTAACCTAAACTTACAGACGACGATCCAGGATGTGAGGTGAATAGTTGCAAGAGTTTGGAGTGGGCAGGACTAAAGCCCGCCACGGTGCCTTGCTTGCGTCGTCGCTCCAGTTCCTCTCAGACCTGCGAATTCAGAGAAAATTAATAGTGTGCTCATGAATGAACAGAACTCGCAGATAGTTATCATAAACAAAACGCATAAATTTACAAATTTTCAACTGTGTTTTCTGCAACGGTGCCTACATGAGGCAAAAGGGAATTCGATGCGATGGATTATTAGTAGTGGATTACAATGTAAAGTTAGGCCAGGTCTACTCTACGGCCTCTAGGTCATTCCAAATGAAATAAATCAAGGGCTTAGTTTCGCGTTAGTGGAATGGAATTCATGCGTTTACTTGGCAAAAGCTCTTATATCAAGTGAGCGCAAGAAATGTAACGCATTTGCATTCAAATTAGGACTTGCTATGCCGCTATCTGTGGAAAAATCGCAGCCAGAGATTTATACTAACTAAATCCTCCAATTTAGCCACAAATTTATTGCAGCGTGTTAGAACTACAAAATAAAACTTAAAAATCAGCACAAAAACTTGTATAAATTCAACAAATCTCAAACACAACCAATGAAAATTTTGCAAACGCCAAGTCATGAACAGGGTCTGAAATTACGTTAAAGCAAACGACTTATTCGGAATTCTTAGGAACTAAGTTTTGTGAATTTTACGAAAGTAAATCTTCGTTCCAAATATTGCCACCCATGCAAAAACCTAGCGTGAACAAAACAAAAGAAAGATGGAAAATGGGGTTCCATATTTGATAAATTGATGGAGCAACCATTCGCCATCAAGAAAACCACTTCAAAGTTAAAACTACTAAAGAATTTCGAGTTACGAGAATTTTCTAGAATACAGCTTAGATTCGTGAGAAGTCACGAACTGTAGTAGGCCATATACACAGCATAAAAGAATCGATTTATAAGCTATAAAGTACAATCTTTAGATTGTACTTGAATCTACTAGAATCACCTTCAACCTATTAATATGCAATACATTATTTGTCCATCCTTCAGTATGAGATACCAAAGATTTGCACGAGGGAAATTCTAAACATTCACACAGCCTGTCAACAGTAACACAAAAACTCGCTAGTATTCTGATGATACTTATTTGTTTCTCGATGGTACTAACAGGCAAACTAAAATTTACCGGTCATGCAACGCCTTAGAGGCACAACACGTCCGACACTTCTGCTGCCCGCCTGTGAGTGTGGATGTCGGCAATGCAGTGTTGCCAGGTTTTTTCTTGGCGAAAATACCAGATTGCCTAGCTCAAAATACCAGAAATATACCAGAAATTCTATCGTTCAAAAAAAGACGAATACCTCCAAATTTTATGAAACTATTCGTCAGAAACGTTGGTTAGAAAAAAAATTACCTTATGTACTGTGCAGTTATCTGGCTTGACGATAATTAGCCAAATTGAACACGCTATATTTTTTCCCCTCTGTTTGGAACATTTTGACACTTTTCTTTTCCTGTGTTTGATTACATTGACACTTGTTCCTTTTTTTATCAGTGTCATTGTGGCACTTTTTCTTCTTCGCTCAACATGAGCAAGCCACGGAAACAG